GCTCCCAACACCGAGATGTTCCTCAGAGAAGGAATAGAATGGCTTTGCAGACACAGCAAGTAATCCACTTTTAGTACATTCCAGATGTGTCTCCTGATAGAGTTTCACCTCTTTCCCTGCTTTATGTGAGTCAGACTAGTAAGGAGCATTGGGGTTTTCTCCCCTGCAGGGCTCCAGATTCAGTTCTCACCCATTGGGCTGCATATCACAAGGGGGGAAGGGGGCACTTTGTTTACAAAGCTATGGTGTCCTTTTTCTACCAGAGTTTCTCTTTTCTGCCTTGTCCTACAGGGTACCCCTAAGTACCCCCAACATTCTAAGTATTTTCTGTTAATTGTGTAGCATCAACAGGTTCCTGGTCAATCATGGATTAATAGGTGACATCATAACCAAAAATTAGCAGCTTCTGTCCTCACACAGCTAGTAGCAGCCTTCCCCAACCTTAAACCGCCACATTTAAAACTCACATCTAATACCAGTTACTGTATCACTTAGGATGTCTACCCTGGCTTACTCCTAGTAAAATGTAAATAAACATCACTGAAAAGGGCTATGTGGAGGCACACATCAGCCTTAACCGCTGCGAAGGGCATTGTACTTGCTTTTCTCCACCCCAGATCCCTGTTGTGTTTAGTTTCATACCCAGTGTGGCCAAAGGATGGATGGGGAAGATCCAACCCCTGCACTCTCACAGGTCATGCCCAGTCTCCTCCTATTTCCTTGGTCAGATTACATAGTGGGCCATCAATGCAAAGAAATCTGTAGGGCTATGTATATGCCAGAGTCTGGGCTGCTGGGAATCACTGAGCTATTGATGCTATTGCTGTATATGCAGTGTGATGAGTACTCTCCACAAAGCAAAATGCAAGGACAAGAAATGTAGGTGGTCCTGTAGCCCCAGACTACTAAGGCATGGCAGGCAAAGGGCTATATAGCAAGCTCTTCTTTCAAATATAAAACAAAACAGGATTGGCTACATTTCCAAAACACAGTGAAATATATTGCAAAATTTTCTTCAAGTAGGGTTAGGCCAATTTATATCTGCAGGACATGGAATACTAGGGAATATAGTTTTAGATTTTTTTTTTTTTTAACTCAGGTCAGTTCCAAGTGATCAGCCCTTCATATAACTGTTGATAACTATTTGGGCAAAGGATTAACCCTTATTTCTGTTCTTTCAAATCAGGCAACTTTCATATTTTAACATTTTTGGGGGAGCAGTATTAGATATTGAACCCAGGTCCTTTTGCAAGTCAGTCCAGTCTCCTATGAGTCAGCTGCATTCCTAAGTGGATTCCTCTTACAGTAGATGCACACATGCAGCCTGGCTGTGTTTACCCCACCCTCCACCCCCACCAAAAACCTGTAAGAGGGTCATTCTCTATGGAGGAAGGCATTTGGGGTTGAGGGAATGCATGCAGGATTAGAAACATTTGTGCATTGTCAGAGTGCACCTGGAGAGGTGGTCATGGAAAAACAACGTGACAGACATGAATTATTAAAACTTGAATGTTTTATGGATGTCACTATGACATTGGTTTCATGGGTGTTGATTTGGGGTGACTGGGTTGATGCAGGGCTGGTGGTTAGAATTCTCTAATGCTTTTCTAAGAGTGGTTAGACCTTCGCTATTGTTTCTTAGTTTTCTGTCTGGCACTGGCTTTTTACTTGTGTAAATGAATATTGAGAGTAGGCTAACGTGAAAGGTTCTCTGAAGAACAGCCCTTTCACAGTGTTCCCCAACAAAACGTAGAGCTCCTCCTTAGTACTTGTCATTATTGCTTCAGGAAAAACTATCCATCTTAAGTTCTGTTCTAGTTTGCTTTCTGTCATTGTGATTTAAAAAAACAAAACAAAACACTGACCCAGCCGGGGGTGGGGGGGGTGGGGGGAGGGTGGCACATGACTTTAATCCCAGCACTCAAGGCAGAGGCAGGTGGATCTTTTGTGAGTTGGAAGACCAACCTGGTCTACAGAGTGAGTTCCAGGACAGCTAGGGTTACACAGAGAAACCCTGTCTCAAAAAATACTAAAACTAAAACAAAACAAAAAAACAACATTGCCTGAAAATCACTTGGGGAGTAAAGGGTTTATTTCAACTTACAAGTTATAATGAGATCATCTTTTAGGGAAGCCAGGGCTGGAGCTCAAATGGGAACCTGGATGCAGAAGCTGAACTGGAGGAGAGGTGCTTACCGGCTAGCTCTGCTAGCTTTCTTATACAGAACTAGCCTACCTATAGGGATGGTACTGTCCCTAGTTGAGTGAGCTCTCCTCCATCACTTGGCAGTGATGAAAATAGCCAAAGACGTGCCATTCTCATCAAGGCAGCTCTTCCGTTGAGCTTGCCTCTTCCCAGGTGACTCTGGGCTTACCTCGTGCTGACAAGTGAAACTGACTATGGCAAGCTTAGAAGGAAACGTTGTGTTTTGGTAGGATTTATAAGATATCCAAATCCACTATTTATTGAGCACATACCAGGCTCTGGAAACTGTATTAGATGCTGAGAAGACAGCAGAAAACATGACAAGATCCCAGCTCTCATGGAGCTTGAATTGTGGTGAGGAGAGATATACAAACAAGAGCAATATCAAGTGATGGCATGCATTCTGCAAAGAGAAAGAGCAAGCCCAGTGGTGGTGCTGCACGCCTTTAATTGCAGCACTTGGGAGGCAGAGGCAGAGGCAGGCAGATCTCTGTGAATTCGAGGCTAGCCTGATCTACAAAGTGAGTTGCAGGACAGCTAGGGCTGTTACACAGAGAAACCCTCTTTTAGAGAGGGAGAGAGAAAGGAGAGAGAGAGAGAGAGAGAGAGAGAGAGAGAGAGAGAGAGAGAGAGAGAGAGAGAGAGAGAGAGAGAGAGAGCAGAGATGGGACCTGGGCATTTTTACTGACATCTAAACAATGAGAAGGATCCAGAAGAGGAAGGCCCCAGGTGAGAGGACTTGTAAGTATAAAGCCCCAAGATGCAAATGAACTTGGTACAGTTAAGGAACAGAAAGGGGAGGGGGGTGCAAATTAGCAAGAGGGTTTGGGGCAGGCTGTGGTGGTGCACACCTGAAATCCCAACACTGTGTAGGTTGAGTGCAGAGACAAGATTACAGCAAATTCAAAGCCAGCCTGGATGACAAAGGACTAGGAAAAGTCAGAACTTACGGGCCTTTGTAGTGTAGGCAAGGTGTTTGGAGTTTGTAAATGAAGGAGAAGCTGTTGGAGGTGTTTAAACAGAGGAGCATTATCTGATTCCCATCCTGTCTTATGTAACGCACATCTCAAGCAGCCTAGAGTGCATTTACAGACTTCGTAAAAGATGAAATAGACCCCAATTCTATATGCCTACTCCCTGCCTTCTAAGTGACAAGCTTTTGCTAATGAATAGAATAGCTATGGAAAGTGCCCCCCAGCCGTGTGTGTGTGTGTGTGTGTGTGTGTGTGTGTGTGTGTGTGTGTGTGTGTGCACGCGCGCACGCGCACGCGCACGCGTGTTTGGGGTACCTGACATAGTGAACTTCAAAATAACTCTGTAAATACGTAGACAAATCATCTCATTGCCCCTGTTCTTGTTTTAGAGCCAGCTATAATTAGACTTCCTCAAAGATTTCACTCAAGCATTTAAGTTTTGAGTTGATAACATTTTCTGTTGCCCCAAGGGTTTTCAGAAGTGGACGCTGGCTGCAAGCCTCTGCCTCTGTTTGGCCTCGTGCCTAATGTCCCTGTTTGAACACCACTTGTACTCAGAGTCCTGCTTTAGGCAAGAAAGAGGTCCTGCATGCCTTCAGACAGCTCCAGGTGGAAGTGAAGGACCTGTCATTTACCCTTGAATGTTCACCTCTAGGAATTATGCCCCTGGCCTGACATTGTGAGCGGCTTATTCCATTCAACTCAGATCTCAGGGAATCTGAATTTACCACCTTTCAAACTTTGAGTTCACCTGTCCAGCTCCCCTCCATACTGGTACTGCTGGCATTGTGGTAGGGCTGTCCTAACACCAGAGGAAATTAATATTACTGGTCCCACTGCATCCTACACTCTCCTCCAACCAGTCTCCACTGAAACCACCCTTTGCTTCTCTCTCAGCCATCTGCACAGGTAAGGGGATGCCAGGTAGCTTGGATCTTTGTGTGCATCTGAATCAGGACCCCACATTCAGGGTTCAAAATGGAATTTCTGAAATATGACTCTTTTTTCAGTCCTGTGGTATGTGTTGCAAACATGAGTATGAGTTGCTCAGATGCATTATCAAGAGAAATGTGTGGATATTTTATGCTATTCTATACACAACCCAAGGCTGTGAAATAGCGAGCTATATTTCCTTGTCATCTACCCCAGAAGTAAGAAATCTAAATCCCTCATCAGCCTTTACTTTCTGTGGTGTTTTGTCAGATGTCTTCTAAAAGAGTTGACTGTCACCCTGTAAGTACAGAGAGAGGAAACAAAGCATTTGGGTCTAGAAGGCTATGGCTCTACAGCTTGCCCGGTGTATCTTTTATCCTGACTTACACCCTAGTGGCATTTCCAAGCTTCCTTGCTGTGATACACCCAACCTGCACGCCTCACCTGCATCCGACTTTCTCCCCACACACTTGAATACTTGCAAATGAGGAAGGCTCACTAATTCTCAGTGCAGTCAAGGGCTTTTATTTCTTGAGTGACTCTTCTCAATATTGCTAAATGAAATAGTCAGAATTGAGAGTTGTGCTTTCAAATCGAATTCTTTTGAAGGAATCTCAGGTTCTAGGAGTGATTATTTTTGTAGTGGTGTCGAGGAAAAAGAAAAAAAAAAGGCTGTTAACTGGAGAGAGGTAGAGACCCACTTTACAGTATCGAGTGGTTACATTCTATCCTGGAGGAAGGAGAAACTTTTTAATTTGTTTTTTTTTTTTTTCTTTGCTTCTTAAGCAAAACCAATCTAGTTTCTTTTTCTATAGCAAAGGAGGAAGGAACAAACGAGAAATTAATCAGGCAGGAAGTGAATACCACAGAACGCTGCCTGCCTCTGACTCAGTGTGTCACCCAGAACAGGAGGCCAGAGCGTGTCCAAAATGGCTGCCCAGAAACAACCCCTCGTTTGTGTTAGAAGATGATGCCATTTGGAGGGCCAGTTTTCTGTACTGTCTCACGTCTTGCTTGCTCTCTTATCTGCCTGAGTCCCTGATCATGCCTTCCTTTTTAACGGTAAGAAAAACTGTATTCAGACTTAATTTCTTTCCCTTATCAGCAAAAGGGAAGAACTAAATGGTGTTTAATGGGCCATAGTATGTGGAGATAAAGATGTTTAATTGTTCTGTAGAAAACCATGTGATTTATTCCTATTGCCTGCTATCGTGATAGTGAGTGCTTTGTAACTTGTTCTGAGCCAAGAGGCAAGTGAGATTTTCTGTAGAATTTTTCCTGACCATTGGACAAATTTGGATCCACATTAATTTCTTTCCCATTTTCCCCTGAAATGGGGGCTGTGTCATTTAACATACCTGTGCTGTGTACAGTCAAGTCAGGTCCACAGAGCTGCCTCTGAGTCTTCAGTTTGATCCGCCGCAGGATGTTTTAAAGTCTAAGCAGTCACTGTCAGTTTCAAAGCAAAGCACCAGCTCTGTGCTTGCTAAGCCTGATGCTGTCCCGATGCTGCAGATGTGGTGTGTCCCAGGCTCAGGCAGGGTATTAGCAAGGACTGACATGGTCTTTTAGAGTAATTTGATCCACATCAGGACAGTGCAGAAGCAATGACTGGTGTTAATCAGATTCAGTATCATTTGTCATAATTAATTTTAACATGGTTAATATTAAATTATGTCAACGTAAAATGTAACCTTAAATTTTAAAGCTGTGCACACAGAGGCCCAGTGGAGCAGGATTAAGGAAATGTTTTATATAAAAAATAATTCTCTGGGCTGTATTTGAAAAAGCAATTTGTGCTCCTTTTTCCCCTTTAGGAAATATAGAGTGACACTTTTAAAGCTAAGGAGGATGCCTACAACTTTAGTCAATAGGCACAGATGTTTTTCACTAATGTAATATGTAGCTGTTGTGTAAAAATACAATGTAAATGAAGACTACAGAAGAATTCTAGTTCAGAAGGTAGAGGGCTACATGCAGACTGACTGATAGAATGGGGAAGGTGGATTAGAGGGGGGAGGAAGAGGAGGAGCTAGGGATCTCCTGAGTGTGGGTCTTACAGTGTTTGGCCTCTTGGTGTTACATGCTAGCCTCCCAGCATTTTGTTCTCGTCAAAACTTTTTTTAATAGGTCTAAAGAGAGTAAGTGATTTGTCTAAACCACAGGCAGCTTTTTTGATGCTCTGCAAAGTTTGTCTGTGGGTACTTGTGTAGAGCTCTCCAAGACTCCATTTAAACTGTGGAGGGAAACACAGTCTAGAAGAATTATGGTGGAGTGTGTTCCCTGGTGCCAGCTTCATTTCAGAGGAAATCAAATGCTAGCTCTGGCCTGTAAGCTGCAACTCCCCCAGACCCATGTTCAGCTTGTTAGAAGAGCTGCTACCATGTTCCAGACCCTTGAGGACTGTGTAATGTTTTAATGAAGACATCATTTGTGTTAGAATTTTCTTTAAACTTCTGCTGGGAATGTAAAGTTTCTCTTTAAATTCTGATACATTTATCCCTTAAGGGATTAAGGATGGCTCTATTTTTTTTTGTTATCAACTTTTTAAAAGATTTATTTATTTATTATGTATTCAGTGTTCTGCCTGCATACATGTATGTATGTGTGTGTCCCATATTGGAAAGAATATTTACTTTGGACTGCCATAAATACTTGTCTGTGTTTCATGACCTTAAGTTCTAAAAAGTAAAACTGAAACAGAAAACTAGAATGAGAAATGCCTTAATAAGGACAGTTTTCTGGGAAATGTAAACTGTGATTTGTTTTTATTTGTTTTATTTACACACACACACACCAGTGTCTTTGTGTTCGTGTGTGTGTGTGTGCAGGTGCCCGCTGAGGCAAGAGAGTATAGGATCCCCTGGAACTGAAGTTACAAGCAGTTGTGATATGGGTGCTGGGAACCGAACTCAGATCCTAAGAAGAGCAATAAGACATCTTAACCACTGAGCCATTTCTCCAGCCCCCTAAGATTGGCTTATATGTGTGTTTTCTCATCTCCTTTGTGATTCAGTGGTAGTGTAGATGTGCACATGTCTGTGCACATGAGGGCTAAGGTTTCACACTCGACACTTGTGTGTGATTTGACCTTTACTATTGCTTGTTCTTTTTAGTATTATTTCTAACAAATGACTAATACTTATTAAGCCCTGCCTCCTTTAAGTCATATATAAACCTAATTAAGTAGATACCATTATGTCCATCCACAGTGGAAACTGGACTTAGGCAGGCTAAGTCTTTTGCCCAAACCACCTAACTACTGAGTGTAGAGGAAATTTTCTAGATTCCAGGAGCATTTTCCACCTGTACAGTTGGGAGGTCACGTGATAAGTTGTATAATTGTTTTCCAGGTCCTTTTCTAGCCCTGAGAATTACAGGGGGTTACAACATGTTTTGTTTTAATTATCATAGCAACATTAAATATGCTTCAAATGATTAATCATAAGTAAAATATTTTCCTTTCTAAGTATTTTGACCTTTTTAGAAATAAATCTCGTGACATTTCAGCACATATTACAAGGCTGTACTTGAGATGATGAAATAAATATATTGGGTATGTTGACCTGAGTGCTCTCTGTGTGTGTGTGTGTGTGTGTGTGTGTGTGTGTGTGTGTGTGTGTGTGTGTCCTGCAGGTTGGAGCAGAGATTAATTCTCATGGGAATACTAGGGAATACTAGAAATGGTGCTGAGGATTTAGGGAAACTTCAGCTTTGAGCTTTGAGCTGCTTGAAGAAGGTACTTGTAAAGATGGAAGATAGTGGGAAGAAAATCGTGTTACTTTTATGCATAAAATAAAGGATTCCTGGCCTTTACCCCTTAAGCTAACCCACAAGTAGCTCAGTCACCCAGCTAAACTTAGAAGGGCCTGGGATACCTATAGCTTCTGTTAATTTTTAAATATGTAAGATAGTGGGTTAAAATAAAATCTTCATGGTAACCTCTGTTTCTCCTGTAGTCACTATTAGAGTGAGATTTTGAGTCTGTGTCCCAAGTCGCTCTCCGCGTTGCTCTGGAGAGAGCTTTTGGGGCCACATGCTGGCAAGCATCCTACCACCACCACTGCAACCTCAGCCCTAAACCACCTCTTTCTCTAGAACTCTGAGTGAAGCCTGTCTGAGCTAACTTCTGAGTGCCACAGGCACAACCTGCTACCATGAGAAAGAAAACAGCTCTAGCAAACAGTCACTGAAGCTGTTGTTTCAAATGAGCAAAGAACACGTGCATTTTGGGGCATGGAGGATTCTGGGTGCAGCCTGTGTGGGTTCCACAGCAGTTGCTAGTGAGGGCAAACCATCACTAACTGGGACACTGGGTTTGTCTGTTTGCTTTCTGTACTCTGCTTGTCTCTCATGTTCGGACTGCCTCCTTACCCTGAGCAGGGACCTGCAGCTCAGGAGAGGTGAAGTAACTAACAGTAAGAGCAACAAACCTTTCTGTGTAGGTTTTAAGTCTCTGAAATGGCCATGGAGGATGCAGGGTGGGGTAGGGGTGGGGGTACCCCCCCACATTCGTTGCCTAGCAACTGGTGACATAAAATAGAAACTACAGGCAACTGCACCTGTGAAAAGATTGTGTTAAAGAAACAGGATGACTGTGGTTTACTGTGAGCACCAGTTTTCCCGTTGAGCCCTTTTACAGGAAGTTGAAGAACAAAGCCAAATTCACCTTAATTAGTTTTGATGGTTTTCAGGTCTTAAAGATATCCAACTCAGTTTGCATTGTGGAGTCTCTAAAGAATAAAATCAAGAAGGATTTTTCCAGCAGGAATCTCAAAACTCTGAGCTTTTAAAAAATTCCTGATTTTAGCAGCAATTTCATATTACTAAATTAAGTTCATGTGCCTTGAGTAAATCCACGGCTTCTGAATGAATGCCCTTGCCTTTATATATTTTTATGGCTGTAATAACAATGTGAATTTAAGACCTTTGACTCATTTAAACATTACTAAGTTATATGTATTCTAAAACCTCTTATATTAATGTCTTGGCCAAACATAGGGAGTGGAGAACACATTTTCCCAGCCTGAGAGAGGGGTGGATAGGTGCCCAGCCATACATACTACTGCATTTTTAAGCTAGGAGGGTATACATCAAAACAAGAATGACTTCTGGGGGTTGTTTACCCCAGCTCCCTTTCAATCTAAGAGCTAATTATTACTGAATACTTTTTTTTTTCCTGAGGACAAACAGAACTTTTGGTGTCTTTCTATGTTGCCCGATATTTTCTACAATGTTCCCCCTTGAAGTCGGAGGAGAAAATAAGAAAGTGAAGTTGGAAGGGAGCCAGGAGCATGCAAGCAATCATGAAGATAAAGTAGGGGTGCTATATATAAACTGTTACTGGACTTAAATGGAAATTATAGAAAGAATATAAAAGTACCAAGAGCAAGAGCAGTTGGACCTTCGGATCTGTTGCCTTGTTTCTCTGGTAACCCTCCCCCACCCTTCCACACACAGGACCCCTTTTGTGGAGAAAGGGCTACTTTCCCCTATTCCCTTTTATGTAGCATAGTGTTTAAGGGCAACTTCTGGAAATGCTTACAGAACAATATGCTCTGAGTTTTCAAACAGCCCATAGCAGTTAAAAAACAACAACAACAAAAAGCAAAACAAACACAACTGGATAAAGCCATTTCCGGTCTTCTCTAATGAAATTCCCCCAAACCCCCAGGATTAGAAAGCCCCTTCTGATGACTGCTGGTGGCCCTGGTGCATTTATTGGAAATCCCTTTGGGTTATTTAGTGCTGTGGGCCTCGTAGGGTCAACTTCAGATTGAATTCTAAATTAGCTTTAGACTATGAAGCAACTTATTTAAATGACTAGCAAATTCTCTCAGTCCCCCAAATCAGTCATTTTATGTTCAGGATAATTCTGTCTTCCAAGCATATTGTAGAAGTTGTGAGCTTCCTGGGACAAATCTGTGGCGAGACTCTCTAGAAAAGGGAGTGTGCTAGCAATTCTTTTATTCACAGTGTTCTCCACAACCAGCTCCATGCAGTTAACAAATGGGGCGCAGCTGTGAGATACTCAGGTGCTCTAGGATGGGGTGTGATGTCTAGTGCATTGTACTTCTCAAATATTCACTTTGTTTTGATCCTCCAAGCTCACAAGCTGCTGATCCATCTGTAGACCCTGTAGGTGTGAGGATGGATACAGTCAGGAATGCCTAGTCCATTAGGGTCTGTGACCTGGTCCAGGAAGATCATCTCTGACTGGTGTGGGCTGTGGGAGGCACTAGAAAGCCCTACTTTTCAAGGCCTTGGAGTTTGAGTTTACTCAGAAAGTCCCAGGCTGCCATAAAAACAAGTCCCAGCAGTTAACACTAGCAAGCCCTTCTGAGATACGGCACATTCTTTGCCTAAGCCTCATAGAACACTAGGTACACTGCGAGCCATTCCAGTGACGAGCATTCGGTGTGCTTATGTAACCCCAGCTCCTTCCTTACACGTATTTAGTGAGAACCTGTATGTCACTGGGGAGACCTGGTGGAGTCTATAGTCTGGCAAGAAGACTATGTGGGCCTGGCAGTGAGCCGAGCATGGGGAGACACAAACTTGGCCTTTGATCCATGTGATGAGTGATGTGCCAAGACTGGGATTTCTGGGATTTTAAAAAAGCTTTCCCTTAAGGCTCAGCTTGGAAGCGTACAGACCATGCTTAGTAGCTACTCAGCTAAAGAGTAACAAAGGTACTTGGCAGCCTTTTAGTACTGAGGTGAACGCATGGATAGTTCATCTGGAGAGGCAGAGATGTTCTCTTCTAGGACAGTTTCTTACTTCAAAGGATTCCAGCCTAGGTAACAAGCAAGCTTCATCAAACAAACAAACAAAAACTGCTTAAAATGGCCAGGAACAGGGAGCCCGGTGAGAGAGCAGAGACCAAAAGGACAGGGTTCTAATGAACAGCCTTGGGGATTTTTAGTGAGAGTCAGTTTTTCTAGGTCGCGGGATCCCTGGCTGTAGGATGAATGCAGCCGAGCTTCCTTGCAATGTTGTTGAAGGTTAGCGACTGGATGAAGAACCAGGGTCTCTGCAGCTCTGGCTAACCTAGGGCTTGCTGTGTAGACCTGGCTCACTGTGTAGGCCTCAGGCTTGCTATGGTTCTCCTGCTTCTGCCTCCTAAGTACTTGGATTGCAGGGATGTCCCACCACACTGGGCTAAGTTCCATTTCACAGTTAGCTCACTTTGAAGGGAATGGGTCCCAGATGTCTTCATCCTTGTTTAGAAGCAGGTGTGAGGAATCTAGCTATGCTGTTCACAGGAAGCAAGCTGTCCACAGTATTTCAATAGATGGCGTGTTTTAAGGCATAAATTTTCCACATCAACTTTTTAGTGGTTCAGCTAAAATAATGCTTAAGCTCCAAAATTGTTTTCTGCATTGGGAAAGACTATTGAGAATAAAGGCAAATAATTCCTGTGTTTGGAATTTGCGCATATGTTATTTAGAACTCAGATGGCTGATGTCTCAGACTGTTCAAGTGACTGAAAGCTCAAACTGTGTAACAAAGGTTCTTAAATTTTAATGCTTTTGACCCATCTAGAGTTTTTGGTTTTCTTTCTTTCTTTCTTTTTTTTTTTTTTTTTTGTTTTGTTTGTTTGTTTGTTTCTTTCTTTCTTTCTTATTTTTCAAGATAGGGTTTCTCTGTGTAACTGCTCTGGCTGTCCTGGAACTCGCTCTGTAGACCAGGTTGGCCTTGAACTCACAGAGATCCACCTGCCTCTGCCCCCTGAGCTCTGGGACTAAAAGTATGCATCATCACTGCCTGGCTATCATCTAGGGATCTTACCTGATTCAAGGGGAGCTGAAAGATGGGAGAGCAGAAAATATTTTATGCAAATGAATGTGGAAGAGGAAGTACTACTTAAAATATGTTTGACCAGACTGGGATTCATTTCCAGTAGCTTCCAGAAACTCTTCCTGGTTTGCAGGCACAGGCTCACAGACACCCTGATCCACTGTGGCCTGCAATGTGGGGACAGAAATGACTAGAGTTAGTACTGGGTGTGACTTTCAGGCACCCTGTATCTCCTTTCAGACTTTCTCTCCCAGGAGGGTCCCTCCTAAACAGTCCTACCTGAGCAATGAGGGCAGGGTAGTCCATCTCATCCCCTTCTAAAAGGCGGCCTGTGTCACTGAAGTAGACTAGTAGGGAGGCTCGGACAGACATCGTAGAATGAGCTAATGCACCAATGTGTTTTGTTTATACAGATTTATCCTCAAGACTGTTGAAGTTTTAACTGTCCAAGATGCCTGTCCCTCCCCCACCGGCACCACCACCACCACCAACATTTGCTCTGGTAAGTACCTTTCCTTTGTTCGCTTTTTCTTAGAAAAAGGAAAAACAAAAACAAAAAAACAAAAAACTTCTTAGAAAAAGTCTTGCAGTCCAAGCTGGTCTGCAACTCCTGTCTTTACCTCCTAAGACCTAGGATTATTTACGGACCGTGCCAACACAGTGGCTTTCTCCCTTCACTCTGCCCATGAAGGAGACCAAACAAAGTCAAACCCTGGCATGTAGTTGTGTCATAAGTGCATTGGCATTCTGGTATTGGCCTGCCCTCGAAGGCTTTGCCAGGGCCCCATCTTTTCTTAGGTGAGAACCTAGTTGAGACCTATCAAAGACACACAACACAAAGGTTGTGTTTGGTCCAGGTCTCCTGGGATGCAGGCTGGGAGCCTGGAGTATGGGTTATTAGGCTTCCTCTACAGGTCCATCAAGGCAAATGTGTTGGTTTAACATAAGGGTTCTCAGGACAGCTCTGAAGCTGTTGGCACTGTTTCCCGTTCAGATGAACTCAGTGCCTGGCCAGTCACTCTTGGGTGGGCCGATCCAGAGAGTGCAGGCTCTCAGCAGTGTACCGACTGCCTTCCAGACTCACTCCTTTCTCTTTCCACCTTCTCCCCTCTCTTCACTCTGTTCTCCACTGATGCTATCCCCATCACCACCACCGCCTTTCCCACACTCTCCCATTATAACCTGTCCTTGTGTCTAGATGATTATGTCCTAGAGGAATGTCCTCACTGGACTCCTGGTCCTTTGATGAGCCTATTGGGGAATGTAGTGCATTGTCTTTCAGGAAGACTCCAAGACACACTTCATCCCAAAGCCCCACTATTGTGTGAGCCTTGACTCCAAGGCAAGCGTCATCCCAAAGCTCCCTCCACCTTGTGAGCCTTTTCTGCTTGGGAGGCACTCATTGATGACCGATCCTTTTATTTCTTGTATGGGGAACCTGAGGCTTGGGGAGAAAACATCCCTGGCTCCAGGTTCCCATGGGCACATTTTAAAACTCTTCTGAGTTTTAAACTAACACTTAGTCCCAGCTCCCTGAGAGAGCCTCTTTGGGCATAAGGACAAATTATGTTTAAACATTTAGAAATATTTATAGCAATTTGATGGGAGTTAGGTTTATTCTAAGGTAGAGTTTGTGTATCTTTTTAGCCAATTTGTTTTTACAATAATTTCTTTTTCTTTTTCTAAACGTGTCAGTCCATAAAATTTTAAGCAGTCTTGTGTGGATTAATTAGAAAACACTCTTAGCTGGCTAATGTGGCAAGATTAGTTTATCCGTATTTCTCCCAAAATGTGAGGTGCCTATCATTATTAATTGGCACATGGGTTAAGTTTTAGAATTTTAATGCCGATGTATTTATTTTAATATGTGTTCTAAAAATGTGTGATTGGCCCAGCAAAGCCCGAGGCTGATTTGAAAGCCAGTGATTTCATTTAAAAGAAAGTGTTCATTAAAAAACAGTACAGAAAATGATAGAGTGAATGAATTTAATGAAAATATTAAATAAATAACACAGCATGAGGAGGGTTTTAAAATCATGAATGTTGAACCTAAAGACTAAAGTTTGAAGCCTGTGTGGTGGCTCACCTACCATCCAAACTCCTGACACTGAGGCAGGAGATTAGTTCAAGGCCAGCTAGGGATACAAATACAGACCTCAAAACAAGATCCAGGAGGAAGGGAAGGTGGACTGGTGACCACCAGGGGATACTGACCTAGTGGAGTAATGTAAGTAAGGGTCCTGGTCTGCCATAGGAGCGAGGCTGGCATCCAAGGAGGTCAGGAGGAAGCCAAGCAGGCGGCTCTTCACTCAAAACTGAAGGTGTCCAGTGGGAACACATCAGTTACTCTCTAGCCCTGAGTTGACCTTCATCCTTAAAATAAAGGGACCAGGTAGTTTTTAAAGGTCCCTCCATGATGTTTTAGGTATAATAGAGAATAAAATTACTAGCAAACCAAGTTACTCCCGCAAAGACTGTCTGGAAGGACAGTAGGAAGGCTCCCAGCAGGCTGCTTTGGGGTTGGAGGTAGGGGTATTGATGGGGAAGGCACACTGGGACCCCACATTTACTCTTCCTTCAGATTCCAAGGAAGGTTCTGGAGTCAGACTGCCAGTGTTCAGACCTCAGCACCTCCTCTTAGCCTCTGCAGCAGAGTGTGTGTGTGTGTGTGTGTGTGTGTGTGTGTGTGTGTGTGTGTAGAGACATTTAACTTACTACAGGTTTTCATTGATGTTTTTGTTTTGCCTTTGTGGGCACACGTGTGGCTGTAAAGCGGAAATAGCACACAGGGTCAATGAAGACTGAATTAAAATAATATACAGCACACTGAAAAGAGCTTAGCTGTGACCATTGCTACCAAGGGCTGCCTCACCATGTCACTATGTTTGCAACATGATATACAGTAATTCCAAATAGCCGAGCTGCCCTTCTGCCTCCCATGATGACACTAAAAGACTTGAGTGAGGTGTCAAACCATGTGCTTCCCCAGCTTTACTCCTCATGCCCACAACTGTCTTGTCTGGGCTCTCACCCCTTTCAGAAGGGTGGGGCCATCCCTGGAGGACTCTCAGGCCTCCTGGAAAGACCTTTAGCCTTGAGGCAGCCACAAACGAGCAAGACCAAGCGAGTATCCACATGTGAGAAACGCTTACCTCCATATCCGTGTGCTAGACCCCTGAGTGTCCATATTCCTAAAATAACTGTAAAGGGCCAAGGTCTCTGTTTCCTAGTCAGGAACGTTAAGATTGTAAGAATTGCCCAAACATTTTTGTAAGTAGTAGGGTACTTTCTCTGAGCTAAGCTTTCAAAGGAATTAAACATTAGAAACATCTTATGGTCAAAAGAACATGAGGGAATTGCCCCGTAAGGAAAAATATTGTCTTCTGTATCTTGACTATGTTTGTCAAAATTAGTAGTACTATGAACTGGCAGGAAGGATTCACTTTAATGGAAATTATGCCATAGCAAATCTGACAAATCAAAGAAGGAAAGCACTTTAGTCAATGCACTCAGAGGGAGTTGTTTCCTAAAAGTTGAGTGAGTTTAAAAACCTACAGTGCTTTGACAGAGTCAGGCACTTCCTTGTATCAGGTGAGTGCTAAACATGGGAGAGGCCTCATACTTAACCCCTCCTCCTGTGAGGGGACCAGCACACCCTGGCTGTTTATGGGAAGATTATGGTCTGAAAATTTAGATTTTTATCACAGACTTATTCTTCCTCTTTCTTTCTTTTTTTTTTTTTTTTTTTTTTTTGTTGTTGCTGTATCTGCTCCCAGACATCAGGCCTTAAAGAGAATGGCATAGAGTCCAAAACTCTCATAGAGTTTACAGCCTGGACTCTTAAAACTACAGTGCCTGATTTTACCCCAAGGGTGGCTGATGAGTCTATGTGGTTACCTTTCAGGCCAATACCGAGAAACCCACCTTGAATAAGACACAGCAGGCTGGGAGGAATGCCCTTCTCTCTGACATCAGCAAAGGGAAGAAACTCAAGAAGACAACCACCAACGACAGAAGTGCACCAATATTGGACAGTGAGTAAAAGTTCTTTCCATAGTGCTAAATGGTTTGCAGCCTAATGGTCAAATTACACTTCTCACCAAACCTTCACCTCCCCCCTCACACTAACAGCAGCTGCAAAGCTAGCAAAAGACAGGACTGAGCTAGTCATTGTAGCCACAGCTTTGGCTTGGGTCCCCTCTAATGCTCCAGGAAGCTAGCATAATAATTCTTTGTCCAAGAAACACACAGCAGCGATTCTCTGAATTATTCATAGTGCTTTCTGGAGATTAACCCATTGCTCCAGGCATCACAGATGACAAGGAAGCATGAAACATGGAGTGTCGCGGCCTTCGGATGAGGATTCAGGGCCCAGGGAAGCCATCAGGCCACAACTCCCAGCCTTAATGTCTTCATTTGTAAAGCTGAGGTGATACCTCAGAACCGACCATATGAGTCTGTTGTGAGCTTCCAATGACATAAAGCTGGCACAGTGCTCTGTTGTCTGCAAGGTGGAATTCTGGAGGAAGATGTGATTCCCAGGAGGCTGGGGAGAGGAAATGAGATCACAATGTGCTTATCTGTGCATCTGAGACCGAGGAGCCTTTTGCAGTAAAACAGGGTCTATATAAACAGGCAAGTGCGTACAATGTAAGTCTCCTCATTGGCCTTGTGAGGGAGTGCAAACCATGCCTGACTGGACACTGTCCTTTCCATGTCACCAGGATTGATCATAACCTCAGATCTCATTTAGACTCAAGGAAACTGGCTGAACTGGCAGTCACCAAGTGCAGCTTTGTGGACGGTGAATTAGGATGCAGTGTTTAGGAGGGTTAGAGGTAGGTAGAGCATCACTGGGGAAGACGTGGGTGGGAGGGCAGTCAGCTGGAAGAGAAAGGGAGGGAAATGGAAATGAGGAAAGCAAAGCAGAGACTTTGAACGGGGCTCTGTTGTCAGGCGCATGTCTGCACAGAGCTCAGAAAGGCACTGTGGATTTTCAGCACCTGAATAGCAGTCAGATCTCTAGATCAAACACCCCATGGGCGTCTGGGAGCCCAGCACAGTTTTAGCTGGGAAGCTTTGGTCCAACAGTCATCTGAGTTGTACTCTCTAGTGTGCGGCTAGAGAAGCTACCGACTCTAGGACAGAGGACATCGGCTCTCCCTAAGAGTCTGGAGCCTTGAAAAGAAGGTGTGAGTTCTCCCCAACTCTGATGGGAACTGGACAGTGTGGGCCTATTCCTGACTCCATATGGAAACTCCTCCTAGTCTTCAAGGTCCGTGTCTTCCATTGCACTGAAATAATGTTAGCCTTTTCCTCTCAGGCTAAGTGGTGCTGAGGGGTGTGCATCTGACAGATGTAAGATGTAACCCAATATATGCCTTCATTGTCCCTACACTTAACTGGATACCTACACTGCTGTTCAGGCTCTTTGCAAACAACAAAATTCATCCATGGTTTTGTATTTGTTTGCATGCCAAACCTCCCTGACTCTGTATCAAAGTGCTTATACATGATAGCTTTGTAATTCAGCCCTGTCTACCATTTATACTAAATGGCCTGAAGCCAGCTCACTGCCCTCAATTTCACGTTTTTTTGTATTAGTCCACTCTGTTATTATAACAAAAGACCTAATACCAAGTACTGCATAAGGAGAGGAAATTGGTTTAACTTATAGGTTAGAGGTTTAAGCGTATGGTATTGGCATTGGCCTGGCTCTGACAAGGACCTCATAGAGATGGTGTTACAGCAATGGCAGAAATACAGGCATAGGGCAGACCATTTAGCAAGACAGAAAACCAGAAAGGGGGTTAGCAAGTCTTGCTGTTTTATAATAAACCCTTTCAGTGTCCTGTGAAACCATATTAGTTTCTTCTGAGGGCAATAACAACCCTTCCTCCATTGCTTAATTATTTCCCATCACCCCCTATTTCCTAAAGGTCATACTCCCTCTCTCATGGACACACTGAGGACTAGGTTTCCCACATGTGAGCCTTGATCGATACACATAAATGATACCCAGACCATCACACTTCCCTATATGAGGGTAGACAAGACATATGGATGTGTCTTATAGCACAGCACACTTTCTATTTATAATACCATGTAATACCATGTAAATGTGCCCTGTGTGTATATGTGGTGCTGTAAGATGTATTATTCAGTGATGAGTAATATTTGAATGACAAGGACAATGTTACGTTATTGCTAGTTAAAATCAGTAAAATTTTAAACCTCATTCTAAAGCAAACAATCTAGAAATTGTTGCTGTAATTTGGTTTAGCCTGTTAGGTAAAGTAATCCTTGTCAATTCATTTTCAGATTATGTCTCCAGCAGAGAGCTGTATACATAGGAAAGATGGAGAGCTAATGACTAATTTAGAAAAATGAATTAATGAATAAGATGAAATCTCAGAAAGTCAATAAAGAGATTTGAAACAGATTTTCTAAAATTAAGGCTAGAATAGTGAAGTTCCATGCTGAAACGTCTTCAGATAGTTCCTTTGTGAGTGACAGGATTATAGGTGTGCTTCATGCTGCTCAGCTCATCTTAAAATCTCGAAGAAATTAATTTCCTAAGAAATCATTACATTACCAAACTTCACTCAGGAAGCCACATCACCAATGAAAACTGTCTAAGACTATTTTCTCTCTGAATAACTGAGGGATCAAGTGGTTTATTATTACTAAGTTCTGTGTTTCAGATTTCAAGAAACAGCTAATTCATTCTCAAGCAGGAAGCCACAGAAAGCTCTCTGGTAGATGTCATGAAACTGTTGTCATCCTGACAGCAAAGTGGAGCAAAGGTCTTCCACACAAGAAGTCTGCAGGCTGGTGGTGTTCATCAGGGCTCTCCAGACATTCTTGTAATATTAGGCAAGCCTCTACCACTGAGTTACCTGCTAATCCCGGGTGACATTCTTAGCCATCTCTAACTGGGTAGGGATGGGATGCTTCTAGTGGGGACAGGTCAGAGATGCTGTAAACAGACAGGACAGCCACCCAAACAAACTGTCAGCATAGGAGTTCCAGAAATAAAAAAGTGGCATGTACTATTTATCATGAATAAGAAAATACTAAGCAAAAAAAAAAAAATCTAGTAAGAATAATTCACCAAGACCAAAGATATTCCCATTTTTCAGTACTAGATTTAAAATCTATTCTTCTTATAAAATAATAAAAATCATATAGTCAGCTCAGTAAATGCTATGTAGGTATTGGATAAGATTCCATATTATAAATCTTTTAGCCTAATATAGAAGTATCCTTATTGACAGTAAATATTTAAAAACAACAATAACAAAAAAGACCCTCTGGTAACCTAATAGTTAGTATTTAACTTCAGAACAGGAGTGGTCTCATTAAAATAAGAACATGGTTACCATAGCAACATTGATAATTTACATTGTTTAGGAGGTTCGGCCATCAAAGTAATTATTTACAGAAAAATAGAAAGAAGGGGTACAGCTTTTAGAAAAGAAGGAAGCCTTTACTATTTGAAGACTATATGCCTACTAGAAAATGAAAGATCACTAATGTTTCTATAATTTTTAACTTAAAATATACAGCAAAATAGCTAAATCAAATAAAATTTCTTGGTAGCAATAACTAAGTACAAAATACAATAGAAAAGTGCCCTTTTCAAAATTTTAAAGCACACACACACACACACACACACACACACACGCACACACACACAGTTATACAACTGCAAACTCCCTCCAAATCTAAAAGACATAAATAGCAAGTTTTGCTTTGTTTCCAAATGTCAAATGTAAATATTGTCTGTGTGAGTTACTGACAATGAATGTGTAGATCTCAGCTGTGTGATACTTCTCCAGGACAAAGTATAGGTTGGGGAAATAGGACTTTCATGGATGTTTAACCTTAAACACACACAAACATACATAAGTTTCTAAAAAGATGAACTTTTTAAAAAGCATATGTCTTCAGCTGGGTGTTAGTGGTGCAAGCCTTTAATCCCAGCACTGGGGAGGCAGAGACAGGTGGATCTCTGTGAGTTCGAAGCCAACCTAGTCTTCGAGCTAGTTCCAAGACAGGCTCCAAAGCTACAGAGAAACCTTGTCTCAACCCACCCCCCCCCCCAAAAAAAAGCATATGTCTCTTCCTTGGTGTTGGTGGAGCATGCCTTCTCCCCCAGCACTGGGGAGAAAGAAGTAGGTGGATCACTGTGAGTTCAAGGCTAGCCTGACCTACAGCGCAAGTTCCAGGACAAGCTCTAAAGCTACAGAGAAACCTTGTCTTGATAAACGATTTGCTGAATGTTAGGATAGAAAGCAAATAGGTACTAATATGTCAGCCAATCAAATGAGGGGATCATGGAGACACACCACCCCCTCTTACTGTTTCTTCTACCAATGGACCCAAATCTCTTCGGTTCTGTGGTTAAGGCAACCCCTTAAAACCCCTCAGCTGAATGAAGAAATCGTCATCCCACAGGTGCCCAGCATCAGCCTGCTCTTTCAGCACCGTCTTAACGGCTTTCCTGGGGCTAGGACTGGTAAATACGTCTGCATTTTCTCAAGTATGTTTTCTCCTTCTGCAGAACCGAAAGGAGCCGGTGCCAGTGGCGGTGGTGGTTATGGAGGAGGCGGCGGCAGCGGCAGTGGCGGTGGAGGAGGCGGCGGTGGTGGTAGCGGTGGAAATTTTGGAGGGGGTGGACCCCCGGGATTGGGAGGACTATTCCAGGCTGGAATGCCGAAGCTGAGGTCCACTGCCAACAGGGATAATGGTATTTACAATTCCTTCTCTGATGTGCAGAACAACAGGCAATTTGGCAGTTTGGAGGCTTGGCAGACCTGCCTGAGGCTCTGTCTGCCCTTAAAAAAAAATTTTTACATTGTTTAAGATGTCACCCTGTTTTATGAGGGACTATGTCCCAGCTCCTCCCCTTTATCGGTAGGAACCAGGCAGTCCTGTAGAGTTATGAAATATTTGGACAGTATACTTGGGGTAGCCCATCCTCCATGCTTTTCTAAGGGGTGAGCTGGAGCTGGGAGAATGGCAAAGGGAGAGTGGGACCAGCTTCCTCTACCCGATAACCTGGGAGGGTAGCTCTCTGTCAGGGAGGGTAACCCTTATCTGAAATCTGGCATGACCATGATGAGGCAGGTGGCTTGAGGATGGGACCCAAGCCCATCACAGAATTCATTTGGGTTTCAAATAGGCCTTATACGCTCAGCTTGAAGGTAATCTTGAAGGCAACAGTATGAACATCTGGCATTCATCTGAAGTTGAAGTCACTGATCCTCGGGGGTGGCTGACTATAGGTCCTATCTTGCCAGTCTTGTGTTCAAATATAAAATCGTTTCCCTAAAACACACAAAAGGATGTTAGGCAGCTGCCAGATGCATGCATTTGGTACTTTAACAAAGGTAAAGAAGTTAAACAAAAGGAAGGAAGTAAAATGAAGAAGGCATTGAAGTCAGTGCCAGGAGACCTGCCACTTTTTTAAGATGGATAGTAGCTACATAGCCTCCATGTGAATTTGGAAGACACAGCGTAAGCTGGATGTCATAGAAGTATACCACCTACTCAAGAGAAATACATTTTTTACAATGCTAAAATCAGAATTAAAATTACCTCAGGTTCATGTTACTATACTGAATAAACCTATCCAAGTGCTTCTTCTTTTTTAAAAAAGATTTATTTATTATTATTCAGTATTATGCCTGCATGTATGCCTATAGGCCAGAAGAGGGCACCAGATCTTATTACAGATGGTTGTGAGATCCCATATGGTTGCTGGGAATTGGACCTTTGGAATAGCAGGCAGTGCTCTTAACCAATGAGCCATCTCTCCAGCCACCCCCCCCCCAAGTGCTTCATGTGTGGGGGTAAAGTCTAACTCCTTCTGGCCTATATGTTCTTAGTAGCCTGCCCAGTTGGGCTCCATTTCCTGTGGATTCGATCCTCTGTGCTGTGGTACCCAGGCTTCTGTTTGGAGTGTGAAGCTTCTGTCCCTGTCAAAGGCCTTTGTCCCTACTAGCCCTAACTGCCTCAGGTGTGCTCTGGCTACTTCCTGTTAGACCTCAGCTAACACAGCCTAGCCCCAGAGTCGCTGTCCCCAGCCCGTCAGGCCTGGCCTCTCCAGGCATCCTTGATTTGTCAGATTCATTTTGATACTAATAACTGTTAGAAAGTCCCCCTTTTCTAACTCATCATTTGTGTCCCCAAAGAATATAAAATACAGGGGAGAAGTGTTTTGTTTTGCTTATCCAGCTGTTTCTAACATCTAGAAAAATGGATGTACAATAAATATTTGTACATTGTTTAATTCACAGTTGAAGTGAAAGATGTTTCAATGGTAACGATTTGATTTCAAGGAGAGACAGCTCAGGGCTTAAAAGCGCTGGTCACTCTTTCAGAGGACCTGGGTTTGAGTCCCAACACCTGCCTGGCATGATGACACCACCAACTCCAGAGGACCCGACACCATCCCCTGGTCTCCTAGGGCACTGTAAACATGTGATACACAGATAAAACATACAGGCAAATCATAATCTAAAAATAAGTGCATCTTTTTAAAAAATTTAAAAAGAATTACCTTGGGTTACCCTTTCCACCTAGTTCCTCCTTAAGAACTTAGTTTGGCCAAATATCCACTATACTCATTGAACAAAGGCATTACAGAATTGTTATATCCTAACACTGAAGGTTGACCTAGCGTGTGTGTGTGTGTGTGTGTGTGTGTGTGTGTGTGTGTGTGTGTGTGTGAGAGAGACATACAAGGACCAAAGGGATAAAGATGGCAGTGGGGGTCCATGACAACTATTAGCACAAATCTATCCAAGCTATCCATTCCTTCTTGTTTTGTGGTATCATAGAGACCTCTCCAGAACTCTCGCCAGGGATGCTTTAATTCATCCTTTGGAAAGTCTGGCTATAAAACCTGTACCTGGAAGATAAACAGCTATACATCTCTGCCTCCAGGAAACCCACACAAGCATTTCAAACAATTTAAGTTTATGAAGCTAGATAAAAGGGCCAACACCCACCCTTGCCCTCTGATTTATTTAGGATCCCTCACTTTTTGACCCCGTGTCTGTTTTCTTGTTCTTTAGATTCTGGGGGAAGCCGACCACCAATTTTGCCACCAGGAGGAAGAGCAACATCTGCCAAGCCCTTTTCGCCCCCAAGTGGGCCCCCAGCACGGTTCCCTGCACCCTCACCAGGCCACAGGAGTGGTCCCCCAGAGCTGCCCAGGAACCGAATGCCTCCCGCGAGGCCTGATGTGGGCTCAAAACCCGATAGCCTTCCCCCTCCGGTACCAAATACGCCAAGACCCATTCAGTCGAATCTGCACAACCGGGGATCCCCAACAGGGCCGGGAGCCCCCAGGCCCCCCTTTCCTGGAAACCGAGGTGCTGCTTTTGGAGCCAGCTCTGTGCGCCAGAACCCCTCGAGCTCCTCCTCTCCGTTCTCCAGGCCCCCTTTGCCCCCCACCCCAAGCCGAGCCTTGGATGACAAGCCCCCTCCACCACCTCCTCCTGTGGGCAACAGGCCCCCCATCCACAGAGAAGCCGTTCCACCTCCCCCCTCACAGAACAACAAACCTCCAGTGCCTTCCACCCCACGGCCTGGGGCCGGGTCACAGGCACCACCTCCTCCGCCACCACCCAGCCGGCCCGGCCCTCCTCCCCTGCCTCCTGCTTCCAACGATGAGATCCCGAGGCTGCCACAGCGGAACCTGTCCCTCACATCCTCTGCACCTCCCTTGCCTTCACCTGGACGCTCCGGGCCTCTCCCTCCCCCACCCAACGAGAGGCCCCCTCCTCCAGTGAGGGATCCACCAGGCAGATCAGGTATGGCAAGACTGGGGGGGCGGTGCTGGGGGGGGGCGCATCATGTCCTTAAAACCGCCCTCTCCCAAATATCTCAAGCAATGAGAAACAAGTAAAGCTTTGGATGTTGCACAATACCGATGGTGGGATGCCATGATTGAGGCTAAAACCTCTGGGAAAGGGCCAGATAGTTTGTGCCTAGTAAGTGAACTGACCAACAAGTCTGCAGTTGATAATGAAAGGCGGGAGCTTTCATCTTCCACCCTGACCTGCTCCGCAGATGAAGCTTGACTGGTATGGCTTGGAGTAGTTACCATCTCATTGGGAGCACCAGTGACATCAGAGCCAGAATCCCATCCCCTCCCTCCTCTCCTCTCCCCTCCTCTCTTCTTCTGCCCTGTCCTCCCCCCTCCTCTCCTCTCCCCTCCCCTTCCCTCTCTTCTCCTCCCCCTCCCCCTTCCTCCCCTCCTCTCCTTTCCTCACCCCGCCCCACCCCACCCTGCCCTGACTTCCCCCTCCTCTGTCCTTCCCACCCCACCCCTGTCATTCAGAGGTTGAGAGTACTTCCTACTGGTGGTAACAAATGTCCCAGCAAAGGCCTATAGCTCCAGCTCAGAGGGCTGCCAGAGACTGGAGGATCTCTGAGGCTTGATGGCTCCCAGCACAGCATTAAAAAAGGGAGGCCCAGGTTCAGGAGGAAACTCATAACTTATATATCACATTTTTTGAAAAAACTGTTTCAAATGTATGGGTAATACATGTCTTTATTTTACATATAAGTATTTTTGAGACAGGGTCTCATGCAGGCCCGGAACTCATTATGTAGAGCATTCTAGCATTAGACTCACAGAGATCCATCTCCCTTTGCCTCTGGAGTGCTGGATTATCTGTAGTTTTTAATTTGATTTTTTTCACTTTTTTCTCCTGGGCAACACCGTTTCGAGAGAGGTGACAACTACCTGACTATTGGTGGACAGGGACCCAAGTCCCACAGCCTGGGAGCAGGACCCACCACTGAGTCTATAGCAGGAGATAGGGGCCAACAGTTTGTCAGCCCTGTGCTCAGCTGCCCCCACCCCAAGAGGAATAATCTAGAAGTGACCCCTACAGTTCTCCAGATGACTAGTGTTTGGTCTCCTGGTGACACTTGTTCCTGAACACAGATCCTATATATCACAGAAATATGCGTGTATGATCTGTCATGATGCTGCTTGTCTGAAAACAGTACTGGGGCCAGCTAGAGAGTAGGCTCAGCCACGTAGAATGTTTGTGGCTCACGCCTGATGACCTGAGCTTGACCCCTGGAATCCAGGTGAAGGTGGTAGACAACAGTAGACTCCAAAGTTGCCCTCTGACCTCCATACGTGTGCCATGGTGCAGACACATGTGCACACAAATAATTGTTTTTTATTTTAAAAAAAAAAGTTCTTCTAAATACCTAAACTAATTTTATAATTATCTTACTCTTTTAAAACAATATTTTTATGATGTCACATTAATTAGTTCAATAACTCTTTAAAGGGATAAAATGCTTTTTAAATGGCATGGCTGTCAATATAAATAGATTATTACCTGTTTTCAATTTCACTTTTTGGCCTCCAGCCTCAGTGGTAACCTGAAGCCATACAGCAGGCTAGCTGCCATTACAGGCTCTTACCTCACATACCCACATGGGTTTATGTCCACTTCATGCTTATGTCCATGACTAGGAGGGTTCCGCCTTCTCTCATTTTCCCTAGTTAAGGGGCGCGTATTCAGCAGGCACTCCACCTTGCATAGTGATGATGCCCACAGTGGCAATGTTTTGCTGCATGTCTTGTCTTTTGCTCCAGGCCCCCTCCCACCACCACCTCCAATAAGCAGAAACGGAAGCACTGCTCGGGCCCTGCCTGCCACCCCTCAGTTGCCATCCAGGAGTGGAGTGGACAGTCCCAGAAGCGGGCCTAGACCTCCTCTTCCTCCTGATAGGCCTGGTGCTGGGCCACCGCCCCCACCCCCACCATCAACATCAGTTCGAAATGGCTTCCAAGACTCGTCTTGTGAAGGTGTGTGACGTTTGCTTATGTGAAGTGATGCTCCGTGTTCTGTCATTGTTACCCACACTGTACCCACTAACATTTAGTTCTAACTAACACAGTGAGGCTCACTATGACTCCCTATTGCGATTGCCTTTCTCTCCCAAAAAGACAACTCATTTTTTCTTTTTCTACTCTGTTCCCTGTTTGAGTCTTGGTGTGGCTAACTTGTCAGAGATTCCAATTTAATTCCCCAGAGATTTTTGTAATGGCCCTTTTGTGTTTGTAAATTACCATCTTGTGGCCTACATTTCTGAACAGCTGGCTGTGAGCAGTGGCCCTCAGTTATTAAGTTGCTTCCTTCTGCCATGTCACCAGTTAGGCTCAGCTGTTCTTCCAGAGGACCTGGTTTGATTTCCAGAACCTGCAGGTGACTCACAACCATGTACAATGCCAGTTCTAGGTAATCCAGAGCCCCCTCCCTCACCTTCACAGGCAACAGGCACATACATGATGCACAGACATACATGCAGCCAAAACGCCCATACACATAAAATAAAAAATGAAAAAAGTTTAAATGTTCCCCTTATCCCTGGGCCCAGGGATGGGAAGAAAAGTGCCCTGTATCTTAGCCCCCAGCTCCTGGGAGAGACCTACTGGGTTCACCATCACTCCAGTTCCATCATTTTGCTTTGCTTTGCAGGCCAGGATCAGTGAGGGAGCTGGGCACACTGGTCACATTGTCAGCTCCTCTGTGCACATCTGGCCAGGAAACCAGAACTGGTTTCTAAGCGCTCTGTCTCTTTGCCTTCTTCTCCAAGTCTCCCTAGCAGATTTCTTGTGCTGAGATTGTTTGTTTCTCCCCCAGATGAGTGGGAAAGCAGATTCTACTTCCATCCGATTTCTGATTTGCCACCTCCAGAGCCATATGTACCAACAACGAAGACGTATCCCAGTAAATTGGCCAGAAATGAAAGCCGGAGTAAGTATCTCTGCTAGGGCATTGTGCAGGCTTGTCCTGTGAGGGTCTGGGTTCCACCTGAGTTGCACAGGAATGCCAGTCCTCTTGCCTGGAGTGGAGTAGAAAGCCCCAGTTGGAGCTGTCTGCACTCTGGTAGCCTCTCAAACACACCAGGAATGAGACATGGTGGCTCTTTGAAGGTGACTTTAGCAGCTCAGGACACCTCTGATGTATCAGTGTTGAGTTCTGTTGTCTTGCTTCTTTGGGTAGTCTCCCCCATTCTGACCTTCCTAGGACAGCAAAGGGTCAATTCGTCTTTGATTCCTTCTAGTTTGAGACTGGAAAATGCCGTATAAATTAACAAAACACTGCCTTGATCTTTTAGATGTATTGTGACCACAGTCTTGTGGAGTAGGGGATGAAAATGTTGAATAGCTCTATAATCTCACAGAGCAGATATTTTCCTTTTACCAGATCCTCTTCCTGTTGTTTTCTATCTAATTCTGGCTTTTTGCACGGCTGTAATGACAGTAGACCATTTGGGATGGTAGGTTTTTACATAGCATTGCTGAGTAAACACGCTTCTATTTTACCACATGGTTTTGTCCCACGGGAGTCCATTAAGTCTGCATATAAGAATTTGCCAGTATTGCATATTTGGATCATTTCCCGTTTCTTGCTAATGTCTGCATTGCCTGCCATAAGGAAGCACACCATCTTTCCCCTGCGGAAGAAGAAATGTGAACTAAAAGGTAGATAGACACATTGGAACTTCACAGCAATACCTGCACAGGACTGAGAAAAAAATTAACATGAAAGATGTAAAATTAGCACTGATGAGTTTGAAACTTGCAAAGGCCTAAGCCTCAGAACCTGATCCCTCAAGTTGGACAGCAGGCACAGCACCCATAGCCAGGTCCCCGCTCCCTAACAGACATCCAGAGCCTGCTAAGCCTCTCAGCACACAGCTCTTACGTATACACTGGTCAGTGAGTTCCCAGCCTTTGAGCAGTGGAATATTAATGTCAGCGGAAATTAAGGCTAATTAGAAGCAAAGTTGATGATTTTAGGAGGGAAGAATTTATATATATATATGCTGGGTCACAAGGAGAGCCAGGGCAGTGGAACTGTGAACTGTGCCGTGGGTTACAGTAAAGGACCATTCCAGCAGTTGTTATTGTGTTATTGTGTACACTTTGAGTTAAATGAAACACATCAAATATTGGGTATGCACCACTGACTTCAAAGAGTTAGGGAATGCTGTAGGGAATTTTCCAAGAACAAATGCCAGAAGCAAACAAAATATTGTTACTTGAAAGAAAAACTCTAATCCTAGACGTTTCATGTTGTTGGGATACTGCATTTTGTAGGCAGCACATGCCCAAAGTTATAACTATAAGGAAACTATCATGTTGGTGATTGAAGTTTTGAGTGAAAATAAGCCTTCATGTGGAACAGATGCCTTTGGCTGTTTTGCGAATGAATGTGTGCGTGTGTGTTCATCAGTAGGGCATGTCTATCTGTTAAGGGAACTAGAATGAACTCACTGAAGGGGTTGTTTGTTTAAACTCTAAATACTTCCCCAATTTATCATAAATATTCTTAATAGAATTTAAATATCACTTTTGTTTTTAAATCAATAACAGATCCCTAGATTTCAATAACTAACCATATCCCTTCCCATCCTCCTTTCGGTATGACTCCATTGAGTGATTTGAGGACCAGAACGATGGCCTGCTCCCTGTTACAGATTTCCTGGGTGACATAGACCCTGAAAGAGAGTAGGCATCTAAAATAGTTTTTAAATTGGTAATTTTTCATTGCCACCCCCAGTTTCACAGATTTTGCTTTCAATATTAATGGAATGTACAAATTTTAATAGCAAGTCAGCTGATGAAAATAAGGTTCTGTCAGATGACATTTTATTCTGCTCTCCTCTAGCTGCCTCAGCCTCTCAGACAAAGTGAGGTACACTTTGAATGGCCTCTCACTGCAGCACTCTACAGGCCACCTCTTGTCTTACTGGCCACTTGTGGTCTATCAGGTGACAGTCAGGTGGCATGACTGATGGCTGACTTACATCCAGATAAGTCTTTTGCAGATGACTTCTCAAGAAAAGATTTAGGGGGCTGGAGAGATGGCTCAGAGGTTAAGAGCACTGGCTGCTCTTCCAGAGGTCCTGAGTTCAGTTCCCAGCAATCAAATGGAGTCACAACCATCTTTAGTGAGATCTGGTGCCATTTCCGGGCCAGCAGGGATACATGCAGACAGAATACTGTATGCATGGTACATAAATAAATCTTTTTTAAAAAGATGGAGTTGGAATGGTGAAAGGAAGAGGTAAGAATGTGTTTTCATGGCTCAGACACTTGCTCTATACCAAAAGTTCCTGAGGAGTCCCTCACGTCCCTGCAGGATGGCTGCTGAGGAATCAATCTAACTTAAGTTAGAACAATGTCCAAACAGACGTGTACCAATGACATGTGCCTCGGGTAGACCCGCCCACAGTATTTGAGCACTGAAGCTTCATGCCTCATACTGGTTAGAGCCTCCAAAAAGCATGGCAGATGAGTGAACATTTTTAAATGTGAGTGGATTTTAAAACCTTGTCCCAGTGCAACGATAACCCATAAGTAAGCTTTCACAGCTTTAAAAAGGACACAGTAATGGAGTGAAAAGGAAAACACAGAGAATATTCAGTAATCATGTCTGATAAGAGATTAGTATGCAGAATTTATAAAGAATTCCTATAACTTAGTTTGGGACTGATGAGATTGCTTATGGATAGAGGCCTTTGCTGCCACGCCTGACTTCAATCCCTGGGACCCACAGGGTAAAGAAAACCAACTCCAGTTAAGTTGTCCTCTGAACATGTTGTGGAATACTATGCCCCCTATGTCCACAATTTAAAAATATTTTTAAAGACAAAAATTAAAAATAGATTAAACATTTCAGTAGACATTTTTAAAGAAGATATGAACATGGCTGATAAGCATATGAAAAGTTGCTCAACATTACTAATCTTTATGGAAATGTAAAAGACTAATGCAAGATACAACTTCCCTGGATATATACAATACATTTTGGTGTGCCACCAGTAATTATATTTTCACTGAGTATTAGCTTTGGAAAACATTCTAGGATCCTTACTTAGGATCCTGTTTCTGAGAAGAAAAGGTGCTTGTGTCTAAATGGAAAACACACACAATGTTGGTCTGGGGGAACACGCAGGTGTGAATTTTTTGTTTTGTTTTTATTTAATCTGTATTTTTAAACCTTCGATCAATATGCACATTATTTTTACATAACTGTGAGGAGGTACTCAGTCGCCAGCATCCATCGTCTTCTACTCGTTTGCTCACATCACCCCCTACTTCCAGCCTTGATCTCTGGGTAAGGCAGTGAGCACCTTTGCAACCATCTTGGAGTTTGCACAGGAAACACAAGCTTCTAACCAAAATTATATTTCATCTTTTTTTTTTTTTTATCAAGGTGGATCCAACCGAAGAGAAAGGGGTGCCCCACCCCTCCCCCCCATCCCGAGGTGATCTCTGCCTGCTCGTCTCTACCCAAGCTCCAAAGCTGCTTGTGTTGTTGCTGTTTGAAAACTGCACACCCTCTCCCTTCCTTTGTCCCTCTCAGAGATAGTAGGAGGGAAGGACGGAAGCTGGGGTGGGGATTCGTGCATTTGGTGGGGGGGGGGGAGGATCAGGAAAGATGCAGCTAGCTGTTTGTGTTGTATATATTCTTGAGCTATTGCTTGTGTCAGCTGCGAAGTGCCGGGGTTGGCTGCTGGGATCGATAAGCTTTTGTTGCAAGGAGGCAGAGACAAATTGTATGCTGGCTTTCAGCCCCACACAGTCAGACATTCACTGCTTATTTGCTACAGGCTATAGTTGTTAAATTCCCCGAGAGCTGGTTTTGCCCATGCCTTTCTAGCTCACGTGGTCTCAGGTCTGTTTCCATGAACCACGGACCGCCCTCCCTAATTAAATTGCTGAGCAAGCCTAACATAAATAAAGCCTTGTGGTTGCAGGATATCCAATTTTTGGCTGTCCAACAGAAACATACCCATCTTAAAGTGACCAGCAGCCATGTTTTGTAAAGGTAAAAAGAAACCGGAGAAAAAAATTCCATTTTACTTAACTCTGTGCATCTGAAATATCACTTCAACCTGTAATCAGTATAGAAATTATTAATGAGATATTTACATGTTTGGTACTAAGTCTTCACACTCCAGTGATCTTTCTTTACTTAGGACAAACACATCACCAGGTTTTGGGTGTCCAGTAGCCACATGTGCCTAAGCGCCTTATGTCAGACCGTCTGGATCTGGAAGATAGGAGCTAGTACAGGAACCTCTTGTCTAAACAGGCAAATTGAGTTTTAGCAATTCAAGAGATGCCCCAAGACAAGGACGACAGAATTCAACACCATAATTGGCAGACAGTGAGATTTTTGGATTTTGGTCCCTTATTTTACCTTTTCTGTAATGTGTCCAAGTATTTCTTCTGAGTGTATCTGTCAGAAGTTGACCTAGTACAGTTTACAGTGGCTTGGAGTAAAGCAAACAAACTGAAAGCTGGTGGATGTTTCTGGCTCAGAACCAGCAGGCTGTGCACTCATTGGTCAGTAGGTGGAGTGCCTAGCAGATCTCCAGTGGCCTTCAGTCCTCCACCCCAGAGCAAACTCCTCCCTCAAGGCCAGTTGGAAAGGTCAGGAAGGCAGAAAATTATAAAGCCAGAATTACAGAGTAGGGGGGTAGATTTGAGACGATGGGTAGAACTCTGTAAAACCCACAGGGTCAAGTGAATTAAGGAGCTTAGCAGTAGAAACTGGAAAGAACTGGTTTTGAATCTCTTGGGAGAATCCCTTGTTCTGGATCTATGCGATTAAGTTCCACTACAGGACCACAGAAAGGACAGGGCTTGCCTTTTTATATATATATATATATATATAATTTTGTTTACAAGATTTACTAGGACTTTTAAATGTAGCTATAGAGTTGGAAAAAGATTTCCATTTTGATGTTTTATATAGTTATGTTTAATATTACCTTTGTCTCTATTAAAGCACATGGCCACATGTGTGTATCTACCTGAACTTTGTATTTTGGGTCCAGCGTATTGTTCACATGTTGCTGGGAGATGCAGACAAAAAAAAAAAGAAATCAATCCAAAGAAAAATGAAAAGACATTCCTATTTATAGAGTAATTGTTTCATTTATATGGAAGCAGAACTTAGAAGTTCTAATAGTTGAAATGTCTAATAAATTATGAAGTAACTGATTTGAATATATTGTATTTTTGTAACTTTCCTTGCCAAAGCCCTGAACTTAGTATCTTAGTCATTTTCCTCCCTTCTCCTCTGCCCTTTGTCTGTCTTCCATGAGAATAAAGAAATAAAGGCTTAACAAGCTCCATCTTTTTTTTTTTTTTTTTTTTTTTTTTTTTTTTTGGTTTTTCCAGACAGGGTTTCTCTGTGAAGCTTTGCAGCCTGTCCTGGAACTCACTCTATAGACCAGGCTGGCCTTGAACTCACATAGATCCAACTGCCTCTGCCTCCCGAGTGCTGGGATTAAAGGTGTGTACCAACAATGCCCAGCACAAGCTTGACATTTTTTACTGCTAACATTTTTATAATGTATTTCAAATTCTTTGAGCTGATGTTCCCTATACTAAACATCCTTCTGATAGACTCTAAATGACCCAATCTACTAAAAAATAGAATTGTTCCTTCCTTGTGCTATGTATGGCAGAGAAAAGTCTGACTCAAAAAACACATAGGTCTGAATTTTTAGATTGTGAGCCTAGTCTTTATTGGCTGAGCCTCCAGGGTCTGAATTAGAAATAGGGTCACAGCTCAAAGCTGCCATTCATAATAAAGGAGTTTTAGGATGTATTTTTTCAAAGAATGCTTCAATAATGCACCTACATTCCTTCTCTAGAAATTAGTAACCCAGCTGCATCTTGAACTCTGGAGTTTTGTGCTTATCTTAAACCTACGGCAGAACACACACACACACAAACCCGACTGTTTTCTTCCCTGAAGTCAAAGCTTACCTGTATGTTTTATTCCATAATATTTCCAGGTCTGTGTATTCAAGATGCAATGCAACATTTGCAAATCATTTTATATGGAAATATATTGCAGTATTAAAATTCAGTGTTCAGGGTCTCCTTCACCATGCATTTTATTTACTGAAAGCTGAGAAAATGTTTAACCCAATGGTGCCTTACTCTGTGATCTGAAAGGAATTGACTTTTTATGTCTATGTGGTGGATTATTTGCATATTTGTAAAAAACTGTTAGGCCTTTATATTTTAACTTGTAATAGCAATTTTGTTATTGTAATAGCAGAAACAGGGTGGTTATTAAAGTATCCTCAGATCTTTGTTATGAAATTAATTTTCCCTGTTTATAAGCAGGAGTTGTAGAGGAATTTTTTTTCATACCACTGCACTGTGTTAACAGACACACTTAGGTATCTGTGTCATCAGGGTAGTTAAATGGGAGGGTAGACTCTACCCTAGACACCTGCATATTTGTAAGTTATCCAGACGATAAATAAAACGCAGAATGATATGGTGTCGACTTGTGGCTTTCTTACCTGTGTAAATATAAACAGAAAGGTGAATGTCTGCCTCCTGTTTTACACTGTGGTAGAGACGAACTCAAACAAGGCCCTCTTAAGTAAGTAAATACCTATTACTCATCACACCTCAAGACCCTGTTGTGTTTGCTTTTCCAGAGACTGCATCTTAGTCAGTCTATAAAGTGGATACTGGAGGCAATGGAAGAGGTAGCAGCAGGAGACACACAGATCTGGGAGCTTAGGAACCCGAGAGCTTCCAGAACCATCTGCTATGCATGTGTGCCTTGCATACATGTTACTCAGCACAGCGCTGTAGCTGAGCATGGTAGAAGACCTGGCATCATCTCTTTGTTCTAAGTCTTTTCTCTAGCCCAGTGCAGTAGGTACAGAGTGAGGAACTGTCTGACAGCAGCAACATGTGTTAGACAAGGAGAAGCACTCGGCACGGACTTACTAGAGCAAGGAAACAAGTGGTCTCTGCTGGCAGTGTAGAGTAGGAAGCGAGCACTTATGCAGAGATCCCAAAGCTATTGGAATGCAGTCAGCCAGAGGAGGATTTACCAGTATGATTTTACAGGAAGCAACCCTAGCAGAGAAATTATCCCACCAGTAGCACAAGCTCTAGATTCACAGTTTGAGGATTTGGTTCATTGTGTCAGGGAAGGCGTGACTACAGGCTGGTCCCGTACATCTGCACTCAGGAAGGGAACAGAATCAGTACTGGTTCTCAGCTTGCTCTCTCCTTTTTATTCAGGCTGGGAACCACAGAATGGTGCTGCCCACAGCTAGGGTGGATCTTCCCCACCCCCCTTAATTAAAAGAATCTAGAAACTTGACAGTCATTCTCTGAGGCTAGTCTCCTAGATGATCCAGGTCTGAAGACAATATTAACCATTATTCTCATGTTACCAGTCAATTGGGTTCAATTTGAGGTTCCAGAAATTAAGAGCCAGAAAGAACCTTCGAGACAGAGCGGCCATAGCACTCAATGTCTACAGTGGGATACTTCTGAGTAGAAAGTGATAAGTTTCCATAGCACAGCAAGTAGCCACTGAGACTGCCACAGCAAACTAGGCCATGTAGTCTCCCCTCTCAGAAGTCATTCAGTCCAGCCCTGTCAACTCTCAGATGGGCAATTTAATGTCCATCAAATGGCATGCTGTGGACACACAAACACACAGTGGGGTGATGAAAATCCTCCCTGCCCTCTCTCACTGTTCTAAAAATCTCACATTTGTTGCAAAGGAAAGTCAATGAAGAGGCCACAGAGTCAGCATGCTTGCACGCACACACGCAGGGGTTTGGATCCTACCTCAGCCATTTCCCCTGTAAGGCCACAGATGGGTCATTTAAGCACTCTGCATTCCCTTCTCCCACTGTACAATGCTTACAACAATACATACACAAACATCAGGCAAAACAACACGTAAGGTGTTCAATAACAGTCCTGCAGTAAACATAGACTATAGTGAGGGAAGAATTCTCCACAGAAAGAAGTCTGATGAAATTTAATTGCAGAATGGTTAGAATTAAAATTTCATTTCAAAACTGGCTTCATTTGTTAAACTGAAATTGCTTGTTTATCTATTCAGTAAGACTTTAGTGAACACTAGGCATGTGCTAGCTTCATGTCAACACAAGAGCAGCCAGCCCACTGTGTGCCTGGGAGGAGGCCACCATGCATGCTGTGACTTCACTCAGCCAGCAGGGGGCTTTCTACAACAGTAAATCCTCCAGTACCCACCTCCCTACCCCATTAGGCAATGTATCTGATTCCTTTGTTCCTGTAGTCTCAATGGGTAAATTACATCAATTTTCTCTTTAATCTTTAACCTACAGGAAAACTGGGAGAAGAAACCCCACAAAGTATTTAGAAAGGGTTTTTTGATGACCAATTGGTGTGGGCAGGGGTTGTTTTAATTCATATGAAAAGTAAATTCAAGGATTTCAGTTTCCTAAATAATCTGACTAACTGGAGGCCTCCTGATTTATGCTGTCTCCAGCTCGTGTAGGGTGGTCCTTCCTTTCCTGTCACCCTTGCAACCTTGCTCTGCCCACTTGGAAACTTGCTACTCCGTGTCTACCAGGAACTTACATCTACCA